AAAACTCTCAATTTGCCTACCAGAAAAATAAAGCAAATCAAAGACTAATACACAAACGTTCACTGATCTTATTAAAATCAATGTCCTGGGAGGCTGAGGCAAGAGAATTGCTTAAGCCCAAGAGTTTAAGGTTGATGTGACTGTGATACCACGGCATTCTACTGAGGGTGACATAGTGAGAATCTGTCCCCCCAACCCAAAAAAAAAGTAAGTAAAAAGGGCTCATTATTCCTGCTACCACCTTTAAGAGGAATGTGCCAAAAGCTTTGCAGGGCTCCAGACTGGCTTTTTGGCTTTGCCAACCTCATTTTGGCTGTTATCTCTAAGCCTTTGCTTATGCCACTTTTCTTTCCAAAAATGTCTTCCCTGCTGCAATCCAGCAGTTAATGTCTATGACTTCCTTTAAAATGTGGTTTAAAATGTTCTCCTCTTCTGAGAAGGCTTCTTGGTTGCACAGTTCCCCCTGCCCCATCACTTTCTTCTCTGTCCACTCAGTACTCGGATAAAGTTATCACTATTTAAAGACATTTACACAACAGAAAACCCCAACAATAGTGAATGCGTTCGAAGCTACCTGAAAACTTGCAGTCTTTAAGAATATTATAGAGAATTCTCTGAAACTGGTTCTCACATAACCAAAAGATTGTATATTCAGTTAAGCTTGAGGAAAGTTGCCACTTATATCAGGTATCTGGCATGTTGCAAATTCTCAATATCTATTGTTGAACAAATTCATTGCTTGATGATCTTTCAAAGTCTGTCCTTGTGTTGGGGTTTCGGTGGAGGTGACCAGTTGGGTATTTTTAAATTTTGTTTTGTTTTTTAAATCATTCTCAGATAAAGTAACCAATAGGCCAACATAAAAATTCTTTTATGTCCTAACTCATAGCTGATTGCCCTATGATATTAGTTTATCCATATTGCCTATAATTATTCTCAGGTTGTTTTGTTGTGTACGTGCATTCTGTATTATAAGCTCCTCCAAATTAAGAACTGTGTCTTACTTTTTAGTAACACTAAAGTTTTGTTACAAAATGTTGAGCATACAGGAGGTCAACAAATAAGTGTGTTAATAAGTGCGCTGTGGCATGTGGCAGCGTCCACACATTAAATAATCTCAGAAAGCTAGAAGGACACTGGAAGTTTCTGTTCTATGTACATTCATTGTGTGTTCTGGAAACAGGAAGACCCATCATTGAAGAGAGTGACTTTTCTTGCTTTTTAGCTTAAGTGCTTATCTTCTCTGAACATAGTCCGCTCAGAAACATTAAGCTTCTACACATTTGCTAATATCCCCCGTGGAAACAAATCACAACAATCAGATTTGCAAATTGTGATCTTTCTGTGTATCTCTAACCTCAAAGACATTATATCATTGGTTATAATGAGATTTTGGTAAAAACAAGAATTTGGTCATATCCATGCAATTTAAAGCCAAGAATTATTCCTACAGCCTCTGACTTGATAACCTTTCAGAGGTAATGACAGCAGTACTTCTAGAGACTGGTCTTGAGAGAAGAAAACTTTCCAGAGAGACCTGATAACAAGAGCAGTGGGGAGAGGGCCTGGGGTAGCAGAGTTGGCACCTGACATAAAGTCCAATCAGAAACAAACTCCTTCGGTCTGTTTAAAGCCAAGGCTCCCTTTGTGTGGTAGAATGTGGGAGGAGCTGGAGCTGGTTTGAACATTGACCCTTCCTGCCAGGCCTCAGTGGGCAGCTCATCCAGCCTGCATCAGGATTAGACTAGATGTTCCCTGCCAAAAGAAAAATTCTTAATTAGCCTGTCCAGAAAAATAAAGAAAAACAAAGACTACTACACAAACATTCATTGATCTTGTTAAAATCAAGCAAAATGCTATGCTTAAATGTTTACTTACTTTTAATTATGGTGGCCTCCTATTGTCCCATGAATGGTCTATAAAATAGGGATGGTTTACGCTATCCGTGGCCAAAGACTGTCCTCATTAGAGTTATCTCCAAGTTAAATGATTGGATCTTGATTCCATTTCGAAACAGTAGAAATTTGAAACTCAAAGAAACCTAACAAAATGGTTGTCATTTTTTATTTCTGAAAGTCTAAAGCCAAGTCAGATTTGATCTTTTATATTTAGTTAAACAAATCATTAGTTTTCAGGTATAAATGCAGATGTAAAGAAAACTCATGGGCTTGCCAGTGTTTTTGCCAGCTGTTGGCTTGTAGTTAAAAGTTGTCCTTAATTATACAGTCAATGCCTTTCTTAATATTTTTACACAAAACCTAAGACCTACAATTTTTTTAATTGTCATTGAATATTTAACATATGTGGAGTTTTTCAAGATATTTAAAGAGATTTCATAATTTTTACATCCTGTTTTTATCAAGAATCTTTTCGTTTTCTAAATCTAAGTTGTTCAATTTCATACTAAAGTCATAAAGGGCAAGAGTTACCAGTTTTCTCATCTATAAAAAGGGTGATTCAGTAACGGCTTGTTTCCAGTAAATGAAAGCTGGTATTTTTACCATTACTATAATTAATTGAGTCACCATTCTTCTTCATGTTCTCTCCATTTTGTGAGCTTCTATTTCTCAAACCCAAAGGCTATCTCAGTGGAAATGCTGATGAGCCCTTATAATAAGCCATAATTGGTTCTAGTAACTTCACCTATAACTTGCTATCTTCACTAGAACTCCACAGCGGTCAGTGTGTAATCTTCACTTTATGAGAAAACTAAAGTTCAGGGAGTTAATCACATCACCCATCCAAAGTCACAAAGATAGTTCAAAGAGAGGGGAGGATGGGTGGAGGGAGGGTGATTGGAGGGACCACACCTATGGTTCATCCTATAAGGGTACATGTGAATCTTTCTAAATGTAGAATATAAATGTCTTAACACAATAACTAAGAAAATGCCATGAAGGCTATGTGAACCAGTTTGGCGAAAATATTTCAAATTGTATATAAAACCAGCACACTGTACCCCATGACCGCATTAATGTACACAGCTATAATTTAATAAAAAAAAAGAGAGAGAGAGAGAAAAGCTGTGATGCAAATTCAGAGTTTTCTGATTTTAGAGCCCATGTTTTTTATTCTGTTCCGAGTAGTTTTCTTTTTAATTACAGTGTAATGTTAAGAAGTGCAGTTTTAGAGCTGGGCGCGATGACGCACGCCTATAACCCTCGCAGTCTGGGAGGCCGATTCGGGAGGATCACTTGAGCTGAGGAGTTCAAGACCAATCTGAGCAAGAACAAGACTCCCATCTCCACAAAAAATAGAAAAATTAGCCAAGTGTGGTGGTGGGTGCCTGTAGTCCCAGCTACTCAGGAGGCTGAGGGAGGAGGATCACTTGAACCCAAGAGTTTGAGGTTGCCATGAGCTAGGCTGATGCCACAGCACTCTACCCAGGGTGACAGAGTGAGACTCCGTCTCAAAAAAAATATATACAGTGTCTTTCTCTCAAAAACCACACTATAGTGTGAAGTAAGCCAATTCAGAACTGCCTAGTTGGTAAGTTCCAATTTAATTAATAAAAATCTAATGGTTTCTAAGCGGCGTGTCATCTGTCTCTATGTAAACAGCCCTCCCACAGGGTTTGTCAGAGCTGAAAACAATTTGTCCTTTAAGTATTTTAAACATTCCTTCTGCAATCTGGTTTGCCCTCTTAATTTTATACTATTAAGAAAGCATTTACCAGAAAAAATAAGCCAGCCCAGCTTGGGCCTGTCAAAATGATAATAAATGTTGAATTAGTGGAATTTTTATTAGGCTTATATTTATATTAATGGATTTCAGAATTCACACCAGATTATTATCTGAAAATTCAAGTCAACTAATACATCTTTAAAAAAAAAATAAATAAATCAAACCAAGCATTTGTATTTGCATTGCCATCAGCATAGCGTCCTTTGAAATGCCATCCTGCTGGGGTCCACACCACCATGCCACCATTGGTGGTCAGTGATCTAAGAGTTTGCATATGTACGCAGGGGACCTTCCTTCAAGGCCTCCATCCTCTGAGACAGTGACAGAGCCCGCGTGGCAGCCTGCCAAGTTTAACTAAGTGTGGAAAAAGGTTGGATTTGCTTTTTGCATGTTTATCTAGGTGACAGAAGAGGGAAAAAGCATTGTTTCTGCAAAGCAAATTGGAACCAGCCTCACAAATGCCCCAATTGCCTCAGCTGACTTCCCTGTTCCTGACTCAAACCACTTGGACTCCTTGGGTAGAATGGCCATGTGGTGGATGAGGTGAAGATTCAGAGCTTAAATGACACAGAAATCATGAACTGAATACTGAGCATCAGGTTGAAGAGTCCAGCACCCCACTGGCCACCTGTAATGCTCCATGTCAAGGAACACCTGCGCTAAGCCCATCTATGAAAACGCAAAACTGTTTTGTCCTAAAGTCCATCGTTTTTGTATCTTGAAAGTAGGTCATTTATTCTAAAGATACTTCCTTTTTCTATCTATTATTCTAGTTCTTAAAAACAGAAACAAATACCAAAGCAAAAAGTCCATTGTGAGTTCCCTTAGTGGTCCCTCCTGCCTGTGCGGAGGAGGTATGAATAATTTATTGAGTCTCCATTAGGGTCAACCAACAGTGGATGTGTGTCAGAGGAGTACTGGCTCTGAGCTAATGACCAAGGATCAAGATAGGGGAGGCTTCTGTTTCATTCTGTGGATACCAATGTGTCCTGATAGGTAATGTCCCGACAGAGATATGGAAAGTAGCAGAAAGACAGAAGATGACTGTCACGAGCTTGTACCGACAGCATGTTACCTACAGCCATTCCCAACACTTACTCTTCTTGCCCTGTGTGGCTTGATAAACCATCTGAAGTTTCTTCAAGAGCATTTGTGAAAGAATAGGAATTGCTGTCAGCCAGTCTCTGTGAGCACCCTGGTGGATTAAATTTCTCAGAACGGATTCTGTTTGGTTTAATGAAGTGGATGTGAGAGGGAATCTGAACCAGTTTTAAATACTCATGAAAAGTGTTTGGTCTGTTGACACATCTAACTCAGTGCTGGCTTCGACAGCACATATACTAAAATTGCAACGATACAGAGAAGATTAGCATGGCCCCTGCACAAGGATGACCCACCAAATTCAAAATCTCTAACCCAAACTCATAGTCTTCCCTGCGCTCCTGTCTAGCTGCTCTTCAGTTCCCCATCCCTTACTTATACTCTGGTCTCTTCTGAATGTCACCTTCTTGGCAAAGCATTCCCTGACCGTACTAAGGAGAGACTCTAGCCCCATACTCAGGACTTCACTTTACCCCTTTTCTTTAGTGTGCTCAGTGCCACTCGTGGTAACCTGCAGGTTATGACAGGAAGGCATCCCAGAGCCCTACCTGTGTGATGGGGACCTTTCCTGTGCTCTCCTAGCCTCCTGCATGTCTCTGTATTATTGCACACGGTCACAAAAAACGTGCCCTTTGGGGACAGGTACCTCGTCTTTCAGCTCTGAGCCCCAAGGAATTTTTGTATTGCAAACCTTATCTAACAACCTGCCTGGCATATCTTAGGAGCGTAATAAATAAATGAATTAATGATTTACCAATGGCTTGGAGATATGTTTATCAATTTCTTAACCATCTATAACTCTCTTAATTTTCCTCTATTTTAAACATTATTCTATCTAAACAAGTAACACCTAATTAATACGTCACTAATGCCACATGGTGAAGCATGTGGCTTGATATAAGAAATAGCTCCAGATGTGAATATTTATAAGAAAATGTTTTACCTTTATTCTGTGCAGTAATTACCAGGTAGACTGTGTCTTATTGATAATAAATAATGGCTCTTGTTTAAACTTAAAGTCATCAAATCAGTCTCTGATCTATAGACCTTTGGAAAAAGTAGCCCCCAGTGGCTCAGGCTATATTTGTAACGAATCAAACTAGTGAGTTGGGACACATTTCTTTCTTCTATTCACTAGGGTTTTGAGAAGGCATGCCTTTTATATTTGGGATATAAAAATATAAAGAGAGCTATCAAATGAAATAATGTATTTTGCAGCAACTTGGATGGGCCTGGAGACCATTATCCTAAGTGAAGTATCTCAGAATTGGAAAAACAAACACCACGTGTACTCTGCAATAATTGGGACCTAATCAATGGGCACACCCAGGCACAACGAGATACAAAGTTCAACAAGAAAGGGGAAGGAGGTAGAAGGGGAAGGGGCAAACCTACCTATCAGGTACAATAAACACTATTTGGGTGATAGATACACTAAAAGGCCCAACTGAAGCATTGGAATAGGTATGCATGTAAGAGAAGCATTTATATTCTCTTAATATTTTAGAATAAATAAAGTGAGCTGTGGGCACACACTAGACCTGGTGTGACCTGAACCATCCACCCAGCATTCCCTTTGCAAAGTCTCTTTCTTTTGTGTAAAATGAAGATGACATCACTACTGTCATTTCCTAGACCGGAGTAGTAGGGCATTAGCCACTGGCTACAGGTGGATTCCAACATCACTTGATTGTCATCGTCTTTCTCTTCCTTCACAAGGAAGATCTGTGTCAGGAGATCTGACACAGGAGAGAGTTCATCCAGTTCTTTGAAATGAATGCTGTAAACATGTTAGATGCTATAAATGTGACCATGGTATTGGTCAGTGAAGTAAGAGTCTACCAGCCAGCAGAGGATGGTTTGGGTTCCATATTTTTTAATTTAATTATCACACATACATGTTTTCCAATTCTAATAAGGAACTCATTATTAAGAGACTCTTTAAGCTTAACTCTATTTTAAGTGAACATTTTAAAAATGCTACCTTAGTTGCCTGAGTTACAGCCCAGACAGGAAGACAGGAAATGTGTCATTCTGAATTGATTTTTGTCATAAAAGTGGAAACACTCAAAATAGAAGAAGCTGGTGGAGTATCTGGAGAAAAGCGTGTTTGATCCAAAGGTGCACATCTCTGTCCATGGAGGATTAAAATGTGGCTCTTCTCCATATTTCAGTATCATCACTGCCCATTGCTAGCCAAACCACCCTTCAATAGGACAATGTCTCTTTCTCTTCCTCTAAAGTCCTCATTTATCAAAATCAGAACCAGGCACGTGGCCAGAATGGGAGCAGGGGTGAGGGAGAGTTGGTGGTAGGAGAAATCAACCCTTCACACCAAGCCAGCACCAGTCCCTCACTGCCCTAGAAAGGAAAAATGTCCAGCTCAGGAAGCTTCTGAGAGGAAAGAACAGGGGTGCAGTTCAGTTGCCCTCCCTGAGTATTAAGGCGGCAACAAATCTCAGTGGCTGTGGGAGACAGGAAGGCCTGGGTGTGCGCCAGCTAGAGGGCTGTGGAGGAAGAAGCGAACACAAGGGGAACTCAGAGACCCTCTGTAAGGGTCTGTATTACATCAGGAAGGGGGAAGGGAACAAGGCTGCATTTTGACTTTCATGAACCTTGCTCCTGGCCCTTCCTCCGTTAGAAAACATATTAAAGTATTAAAGGATTGGGAGAAAGTATTTGTAAACCATATACCTGATTAAAAGGTTAATATCCAAATTATAGAAAGGAACCTCTATAACTCAATAGCAAAAAAACAAATGACACACTTTAAAAAAACGGGCAAAGGAATTGAACAGACAACTCTCCAAATGACACATACAAATGGCCAACAGGATTATGGAAGGATGCTCAGCTTCACTGATCAATGGAGAAATGCAAATAAAAAGCACAGTGAGATACCACCTCAGGCCTGTCAGGCTGGCTGGTATTAAAAGACAAAACGTAAGTGTGGATGAAGAGGTGGAGAAACTGAAGTCTTTCTACACTTTTAGTTGGGATGTAAATTAGAGTAGCCACTATGGAAAACAGCATGGAAATTCCCCCGGAATTGAAAATAGAACTCCCAGCTTCCCACTTCTGAGATTGTAGCCAAAAGAATTTAAGTCAAGATCATAAAGAGGTGCCTGCACACTCCTGTTCATGGCGGCATCATTCACGGTAGCCACAGACAGAGACACGCAACCACCTGAATGTTGATCCGTGGATAAATATATGGAATATGATTCAAAAGGAGGAAATCCTACCATATGTGACAACACGGATGACCCTGGGAAACATTAAGCTAAGTGAGATAAGCCAGTAACGGGAGACAAATACGGAATGATTTCATGTACATGAGGTTTACAGAGTATTCAGATTCACAGACAGAAAATACAGTGGTGGTTGCCAAGGGCTAGAGGAAAGGAAAATGGGGAATTGATGTTCAGGGGGGAATAAGTTTCTGTTATGTAAGTTCTAGAGGTCAGCTATCCAACTTTGTGCCTATGCTTAATACTGTGTTAAGATGGTAGATTTCAAGTCAAGTGTTCTTAGCACAATAAAAGTAAATTTTAAAAACATATTAGAATTGCACTGAGTGGACATAAAGTTCGTGTGCACTTTAAATAGTAAACCAATTTACAACCTGTAAACCAATAGTAAACCAATTTACAACCTGTATTTAACAAATGCATTGAGATAAAGATGAATATAACCCAGACCAAATTCACTGTCATATGTTACTTATTGTATTATGTTTCTTCTGATTCTGAATGAACTTGAATTTCGTTAAGTGAGAACTTGAACATTCCTCATATTACAGTCTCATCTAAAAAGAAGCAGGGTATCCCATAGTGGGAAATTACTATTACATAGTGGGAAAGGGCTCAAATCTTACTCTTTCTTCCTATGTATGAGCTTGAGCAAGTTAATATATCTGAATATCAGCTTCCTCATAAATCGCCATTATAAACATTTAAATGAGACAGTATACACAGGATACTTTGCCTACTGCCTGTTTCACAGCACTAAGTAAATAATTGCTATTAATAGTAATAGTAATTTTGTGACATATAGAAAAATGCTTGAAATGGAGTCCAAAAAGGTGACTTCTAGTTCTGATCCTCCCCTGCCCCCCACCCACACACATACACCATGGGACCTTGAGCCAGGCACTTAACCTTTCTGGATCTTAGTTTCATCATCTGTAATAATATCTGCCCTGACAACCTTACAGGATTTCTACATGAAATAACCAATGTGGGAGCACATGTATTATAGCTTAAAGCATTATATAATCGGAAATATTACTAAAGAAGTTGAAAAATTATGCAAAGGGAGGTATACATTGCCTCACACATAAGCTAGTCAGTAAATGTGTATTGAATGAATGAATGAGTGAATGCCTCACAAAGCTCCCAAGATTTGAAATACTCATTCATATACTTAATTGTGAAAAGCATTGCAAAGGTAGTCTCAGATAAAAACAACAAATATTTCGCACGGAGAGGAGATGACCACTAATAATTTCTAACTACAACTTTTACCAATATGTAAATGTCTTAGATCGCAAGTTCCGGGAAGATACACCTTGCTTATGTTTTTATATCCCCAGCATTCCCCATTCCAGTGTGGATATACAATAAGCACCGAGCAGGTGCTGATGGCCAATCAGAATAGCTGTTCATACTGAAATATTCTTAATTCTGCTATTTCCTCCAAACTCTTCCTTTGCTATTTGCATCAGTAAAATTCTGAAATTAGAAGGGGCTCTCGGTGCATTGTCTAAACGAATAGACAATGGCTCACTGTCCTCTTGTGTTTGTGTTGCTAACTGTACAGCCAGCAGAAACTTGAGAAAATATGCTTCTTATTACAGGAGGTGCCCTGGAATAGTGTATTCTCAACGTGGTATCTTAACCAAATCAGACTTCAATATACCACTAATGGTTCTCGCTAGCATGGATGGTTTTCATCATCAAGTCTATTGCCCCTCGGAGGATAATCACGACCAAATCTGAGAGTTTCTCGTTGAGAGGACCTGCAAGGTCTTTTCTGAGCTTTGGAAGGTGGCCTCTCAATGTTCAAGAACAATGCAAAGAAATCTCGTGTCAGCTTGTCAGCATCACACAGCCTGTTAAATGGTTGAAGCTATGACCACTTGCTTGTTACAATAGAGTGTGTCTTTGGAGAATTAGCGTGTGGTGCATTTTGCGGAAATTGCTCCTTTGGGCAACATGTGAGTATAAATTGGCATCTCAGCAGTGCAGCTGTGATAATAATTGACAAAGTTCTCAGCAGAAAGGGCACTGACCATCTTTCTCAGGCAAATAATCTGTCAGAA